CMRSCMAWTWAWKRRGRAAWWAAGSMRRAAAAWMAMCMRSCMAACTAGTSACACTAGAGATTAATACTGCTGTAATCATTAAACCACTCGTGTTGGTTCGCAGGTGCTGCTGGGATACTTTGGTTCGTTGCTTGGCAACTAATAGTCCACGAGTCCCCAGAGGAACACCCAACCATCTCAGATCACGAACGAAAGTACATTGAACGCAACATGGAGATTGCAAACGTAAGCGTAGATCATAAGCACAGAATAGAGCGGATTTCGTATGAGTGGGAAACGGACGGTACTGTACTGTATCCGTAATCGTACAGTAACCAAATTCTAGTGCCCCATTGGTTCACCAAAATTCTGAAGGCTAGGTCTGGTAACTGTGCGGAAACCGTGCGGTAACGGTATCCCACTCATACGAAATCCGCTCGATATCACTATGATTATGACTATGTTAATGATCAGCAAAGATATGCCTTGTCAAAATATATCAATGAATAGAATAAAAAGAAGCAGCTCAAAAAAACCCGGAACAAACGAATATATAAATGGATTAATTCATCCATAAGTGGCATCAAATCTTATCAAATTTATTTATTTTTTATTTTATTTCAATGTTTCAGGAAAAGAATCCCAAGGTGCCTTGGAAAGATCTGCTAACTTCAGTCCCCGTATGGGCAATTGTTGCCGCGAACCTTGCCGCGGACTGGGGTCTATACACTATTTTGATTTCTCTACCTTTGTACTTGATTGACATTTTACACACCGATATACAAACGGTAGGTTAAAAAACACGGCGAAGACGATTCAAAGACARCCACTGAAAAATACTACTCCAAATAATCTCTATGCATAACGCGGCATATAAATAGGATATTACATGGGCGCACGGAGATACGGATTTTATCTTCGACGTTTTAAAAAAATCTCTCACGGGTGATTGCAAGCGAACATGTCATATTCTGTTTATCATATAATTACATATGAATGCAAATTATATCGTAAAATACCTTTTTTTCTTGCTTCCACTATATAGAGAAACTTTGAAGGTTTTTTTCACTAGTGAAAATAACCGCGTTTAAAGCAACCGGAATGGAGACAACCGGCCGTTTTATATTTTTTAAATAATATCAACAAAAATAGTCAATAAGTCATATTATTTTTTTACTTACGACTTCCATGAATGGTTTTGTGTTTAGATGGGTTTCCTGGCCGCGGCACCATTTCTTGTCAAGGCAATATCCGGACCATTTGGTGGTATAACCGCTGATATTTTACGAAGACGATATCTATCAACACGTACAGTGAGACGACTGTACTTTGGAGTGGGTAGGTTTTATATGATATTAACCTAGAGAGGAAAATATATATTTTTTAAATTTAGACTGTTTCACATAAATATCAATAGAAAGGAAAAATACATGTGTTCAAAAACGTGCACTCCTTTGAAAATTGCCAAATTGTCCAAATTYGAGTAAACCTATTTGGCTGAATTCAATAATTTAATAATAAAGTATTTTTCTGCGATTTTCATGAATATTCTAAAATACAGCAATATGAAAAAATTATGATCATTTTTACTCATATTCCAAGTATATSTAAAATATATCAGAAATTATGGGATATCATCGCCAATATTTTTTTGAAGTTGCCTAACACTTGCACTTTCTAAAAAAATATTGGCAATGACATCCGATTAATTCGGATATTTGAAATATGAGCAAAAATGATCACAATTTCTGCATATTGCTGTATATCAATAATGACAACTCCAATTATTTCAGGTTCATTAAGCGCTGGCATATTCATCGTTGCTGCTGGTTACGCCARKACAGCATCCCTCGCCATCGTTCTTATGTGTGTGGGCGTGGCATCGTCAGGACTATTGCAYTCTGGGTATAATGTCAATATGTTGGATATTGCACCTGGTTATGCATGTGTTATAATGGGRATGTGTAATACTTTGGGTACTTCCGCAGGGTTTCTAAGTCCAATGTTAGTTGGATTTCTTACGGCTAACAAGGTATGATAGCTATACGAAGAACTAACCAATCAATCAATCAATCAATCAATCAGTTAATCAATCAATCTGTCAAGATAATAACGTTTTCCTCTATCTTCATTGTCTTACTCTTTCTTCAGGAAGCCAAAGAGTGGCGCACTGTATTCTGGATAACATTACTAATCTATGCACTTGGTACAGTAATATTTTGTTTGCTTATGTCGGCTGAAGTACAACCATGGGCTAAAGAAACCCTTAAAGAACACAAGCAGGAGAAAAGCCCCCYTCCCTTAGACGACAGCRCAGACACCGAAAAGGACGCCAAGGACGCCATTTGATTCCTAGCTGAACTGCCGTTGCTAAGGATATTTATCGTTGCTAAGGTCTAAGACCGCTGCCTGGCAACACTCATATCATCGACTTGGTCGAGGGTAGCCATGACAATTCAATTCTCGGAAACTATCGTTGCTAAGAGTTTTAATTGTTGAAAAGAACTTAAGCTGCTGCTAAGCAACAACTGTACAAACGACGAAGATCGACAGGGAAATTTGATTCCCAAAAACTATCGTTGCTAAGGATTTTTTGATTCCTAGCAACTACAGCCGTTGTAAGCTGGCAACCGGGTGAATGGCAGCCGTCAAACGGTGGAACGTGAGTTGTTCAAGAAGGGAACAGGAGACAAAGGATAGTATCATCTCTGATGAAAAGAAGATTCATTACAGAGTTAACACAAAAACGAAGATCAAAGTTCGAAAAAACGTCTAGAATTATTTCAACATTTGATTTATTTATTTAGACTTTTAAAGTAACAAAATGTCTTTAGGAAGTTCTCCGAACATTTATTGTCAGAGGAGTCAGAGAGTTTTCACTGTAATATATTTTCGTATTGTAAAAATTGACAAGAAACAATAAAATCTAAAGTGTTAAAAAAAAAAAATTCCTTATTTTTGCCATGGTATATCATTCGTAAAAATGGTCTGATAATTGTCAGGAAAAAATTTAGTAGAACGAGTCAGCAACAAACCTCCCAGCGTGTGATCTTTTTAACATCATAAGGTGAATTTGAAAATAGCAGGATACTCTGAAATACGGTCATTTGGAATTAGGATACTCTTAAATAAGGTCGATATAGTCGTGAATTCTTTTTAAACAAGATATAATGTTTACACACTAGAGTATACTCAAAGACCTGYTTGAGAGATAGAWGATGCTTGTTGCTYGCACGAAACAGTGTGGAATACAATACTTTATGACGGCAGTTTTTAGGCCTTGATTCCTTGATACTTTCATCAACCCCATAGTGCTTCTCGTAGAGCATCATACAACAATCAGACATCATTGTCATGCAACTCACACTAGTTGCTCCCTAGCGCAAAGATGCCCTAAAGGTAAGTTCTCCTTTAAAATAGACGACCAGGACGACGTCCACCTCTGTAAAGCGGCCATTATGATTAATCAGACACCCCTATACAGCGACCATCATTCGCGCAGTACAATGATAACGCGACTTTAAAAACGCATCTCATTGAAAATAGCACCTCATCACATCGATCACTTCTTAAGAATACCAGTTTAAATGATCTACTAATGCTAAAAATAGTCTTATCTATTTAGACTTTTATGACCACCTTATGCATGAAATTATTTATACCTCTTTAAAGCGGTCATCACATACATCAATCCCTTCTAGACAAACCGCTATTATGCAACAGTTATGACCACACGAGACGCCCTCTGTAAAACGACCTGTGGTCATGTGATCTACCTGGGGAGTAGCACCACCGTTATTAATGATTGTAAATAAAGTTTGAATATATGAATCGATCGTTATATTATGTATAGTGTTAAATGAGTATAAGTGTATATTTCTGTACCGATATCGATCAATTAAGAACTGACCCAAAATGGTGAGTTCAAACCTGCTCTCACTTGCAGGTAAGGTCAGATTTAACGCCTCATCGCTGGTCAAGAACTAYTGATCCAGCGAGGACTTTTCTCGATTGTCATCGATGCAATAACTGTRTTTACAGGGCMAAAATACAAAATATACTCCTCTTTTGACTAAAAAACAYCGTTCAAAAGGACTCAAGTATGGCCTCGATAGAAGCGGGTTGAGATACTGCGATTCATCCTTGATAAAAACGGCGAATTCAGTTCCATTTGCCACTCGACGAAGATCAAGTTCACATTTTTTTTATTGTCGCATAGATGGTTTAATATTTTTAGCTTTCAGTCAAAATGTTTAGTTTTATTCCCAAACGATACATTCTCTCTGGTTTGATCTTCGCTGGGTTYGTCATCATGTCAGGGCTGAGAGCGAATTTGAACGTTGCTATCGGTGCCATGATAGGCAACCATACGATCAACGTTGACGGCAAGGACATCGTCAAGGTAAGCAAAATAAAATAATTATAAAGCAATATCATAATAACTCTATCTACAGTTAGATGCCTTGTAAATGAAAATACTGTAAGCTATTGTTTATATACCGGCTCTCATGTCGATATACAAAACATTAATTCTGTCAAAGTGATATATCTATACGGTATATATTTTTTGAAAGCACACAGACATTTAAAAATTGTTTTGTGCTGTTTGCGCCGTAACATTTACCCAATTTAAACTCGTGAAAGAAACTGTACTTGTTTGTACAAAAAAGTGCTATCAATCACAATAATAAACAAACAATTTAGACCCCAATATTTTAGCACCAATTATTGTCCCTTTATTCATAATCCGAGACAGACAAGACAATGAAAAAAAAAAACAAAAAAAAACAAAAAAAAAAACAAGGCAAAACAAAACAAGTTATAAAACGGAACAAAAAAACATCAGAGAAATAAACCACGAGTTGTTTTCTTTTGAGTCTATTCGGTTATCAAATTTTGCTTGTTTTTTGCTATATATTAGAGACGAGTTTTAAAAATGTACTTACTCGAGGGCGTGTACTTGAAACCGAGTGGATTTCTTAAGACAGCAGTAATAATGAAATGAAATGATAACTCGAAGTTTGGCTTTTCTGCACTTTCCTGACAATCACTTAATAAATATATATCGCTATTTCAGAAAACGGTAAATATGATACGGGATAGTATATTTCCAGATCGAAATGCCTTGTTGGTCGTTATATTATCACTCAAAACAAGTTGTCGTGGTTTCAGTGTGGCTATATATGCATCAGTACTTTCGGAGAACAATGCGTCCTCCATCTTGAAAAGTGGGATTGAAACACAAAATCATGACTCCTAAAGGAATTAGAGCATTCTAAGCTAATTTCAAGGTAATATAAGACGATATAATGATAAATTATTTGACGTATCAACTACGAAATGTGTTCTAAGGCACAACATAGTGATTCGGGTCTCACTTCTCAAGATGACCGATGCATTATCCTCCGAAAGTACTGATGCATGCATACCAGCTCCGTACAGTCAAAAGCTTCGATGGAAAGCAATTAAGTTTGTCATTTTATAACGCAGCTAACAAAGACTTTAATAACAACAATGCATTGCGGTCGTATTTGTTTCACGAAATTAGGCAGGAACAACCCAAACTACCTCATACAGTCACATTATCAAGCTGAGTCTTCTGTGTAGTTTTACTTTTTCATTATCGATTGCTCCTGTTCTATTTTAGCGTGGAGAATTTAAGTGGGACTCAAAGATGGAAGGTAATGTGCAATGTATATTCATGGACAGCGGTGCATTTTTTCCATTTGCTTTCCAGAAAACTGGGAAAATAACGTGTACTATCCCCCTCGTGAGAATGGAAATTCAATACAATGTTATTTTGACCCCTATACTAACACCTTTTGGCAGTGTCAAGTAATATTTTCATAGAATCACTGCATGAATCATTTTCATAGAATCAATGCATTTTCGAGGTTCCAATTCATGTGTCAACCTACGGAGGTCGTTAGCTTCCCAACCAAAACTAGGCCACGCGGACGCTGATATTTGCACCCTTGACTAGCTACTATTGCTGGTACTAGTGTTTTTGCACCCTTTAGATTACTTCAAGATCGACTTTTTACTTGTCATAATTTAAATCTTTAAAAGGTTCAAAAGATTTTTTGCTATGTGTGTATTTCACCCTTCGCAGAAGGTTTGAAGTAACGTTTAAAGTCCGACAATGAGGACTGGGCGGGATTTCAAGTCCGCGCAATTCAGTAGTTCCAGTCCGAGGAGTACCTCCTCTGGATTCCAGTTACTGCAAGTGGTACAAATTACAATCAGGGATTGGCTGGATACCTAATGAATAATTAATGAGCATGAGAAGGGTTCTCCACCATTCCTATTTCCAGAGACTTACAGGATATTTTCTATTTTGTACCCTATAGGTGTGATTCTAGGAGCGTTCTACTATGGTTACATGGTGTTCCAAATACCTGGTGGTGTACTAGCTATGAGGTTTGGTGGTGCCAAGCTGTTTGGCGTCGGCATTGGTATTGCCTCCATATTAACTCTTCTAACTCCTCTTGCTGCTCGCCTGTCCCCAATTGCTGTCATCTTACTCAGAATTGGCGAAGGACTTTCCCTGGTAAGATAAAAGCTATGTTTATTACGGATATTCGGGAATTCTCCCGGTCCGAAGGGTGCAGAAGTGGTTTTAATTAAACGCTGTAAAGGAAGAGGATGCAAAAATTAGAAATGTGTTTACAAAAGTCTGTTTTGTTCCCCCAGGGTGCGTTATTTCCCTGTAACCACGCAATATGGAGCCACTGGTCTCCACCGGAAGAAAGAACTACATTGGTGACGGTGTCTGTAGCTGGTTGGTATTGAGTCTAGCACAGGAAACCCAACCTCAAAGTGTTTCCCTACTGATTTTTTTAACCATTTTGTAGGTACCAGTGTTGGCTATCTCATTACCATGCCTATATCCGGTATTCTTACCAAATATGGGTTCGACGGTGGTTGGGGTTCGGTATTTTACTGCTTTGGTAAGTCATACTACTTGTATGAAGCTTAGGACTCGTCCACACGAATCTATAAGAGATTTTTGTTTCCGTATACAGTCATCTCCGCAGACACAAAGTCTACAAAGTGGAGACGTGTGCACGGGTGCCACCACTGAATGTCCTAATAATAATATTTTCAAATTTTCAAATCTCTGGACTAGTGTGGACTGGACTTGGCCTTAGCGTGATATAATCTAGAAAGTATTTATTAAAAAAACAAACCAATAGCTATAGGTTTATTAATCACGCACGAAAGAATTGAAGACAAGGGTCAGGCTACATAATAGATAATTCTTGCTTCCCTCAGAGTCTTTAAATCCTTTCTGACCACTCAACCAGTATATCCAAAATAATATTGATTTGATTGACAGGTGTTTTTGGCTTATTATGGTATATGATATGGTTACTATGTGTACACGAAACACCCGATGACCATCCGAGTCTCTCTGACGAGGAGAGGCTAATACTATCGCACAATGACAAGGACTTGCGATCCAAGGTAATTACCTAATTTGTTCATGAAACTTGATTTAGCTTAGACTGCAATCGTTTACCAATTCCTTGGACCATTCCAGCAAATTTCCTCACTTTAAGCAACACCCGCAAACAATTTCATACCCCCTGACCCCCTTAATGCAATGTTGTCATTGAGCATGTTACCATAGCACACAACCATCCAAAACAAGACCCAACATTGATGAAAGGGGGCTAAGGGGGAAAACTGTGAAAAAATAAAGGACACAAATAATTCCATGGTCCAAGGCTTTTTGGCAACGATTGTGGGATGAATTGAAAGTTCTTTTTAACTTTTGTTTAAGTTGTTTTACTTAGGAAGCCCCTTGATTACGTTAAGCTGTCCTCTCGCGTACTATTTATGATGATATGCTCCTCAGACTATTTTCGCAATACACCTTATTCCCGTTCAAAGTGAGAATTCACTGTTTTAGTTGACAACAGGCTCTCTAGTTCAAAGATCTTAAGCCCCCCCCCCCAAAAAAAAAACCGAAAGGACGAAAAATTTCGTGATTACAACAATTCTACACGTTTACATTCTCTYGKATTTGAGGCTAAGCTTGTATTCCTATAAGGAATAAACTCAAGGTCTTGTGGGAATATAGTCTTAGCTTCAAATCGGAGAAGATTCAAATTTCTAGGACTATTGTAATACCAGCTTTTTTTCTCGTGCTTCCTTGGTTTTTGGTGAGTTCTGTACACAAGTGAGTGTTGCCTACTGTGACAGTGGTCCCTCTCTTTGAAAGGGAATAAAGCGTATTGGAAAAGTAGTTAGTAATTAGAAATTGCATTTATTTTCCAAAAAAATGTCAGCACTGAATCTCTTCATTCGTTGCTTAAATAACAACTTGCTCTTGTCATTAGGTTGGTAATCCTGAAATACCTTGGTTTAAAATACTCAAGTCTGCTCCAGTGTGGGCCATCATCGCCGCCAATTTCGCATTGGATTGGTCGTTTTACGTTCTTCTGATTTCATTACCGAAGTTCCTTGTTGAAATATTTAATACAGAGATACATACCGTGAGTAGAACATTARTTGTGTCGGGTATGGAGGATATTACATGGGGCGGAGATACCGATTTCTTGAAGATCTCTGAAGAGTGAGCGCAACGAGAGGATAAA